CGTGGAAGGAGAAGCGGTGATGAGAGATGACACGTCTCAGCTAGGCCGGGACCCATTACAGCCTCGGTGAAAATAATCAGTCCTGACAGCTCTGCGTTTATTTCTACTCTGTAAGAACAGGATCCAGCAAGAGATGCATAACCCTAAACAGCTGCCTTTATTTTTTCATCGATCCCAAGTATATTTCCCGGTGTTTCCCTTTTTTTTAGTGTAGGTCTGTGTGCCGCTTACATGTGTGAGGTGGTTTGAAATGGAAAACTAGATATTGAACGAGTTTATGGATTACAGCGGTGTTTCCAATCTGGTCCTCGGGGACCGACAGACAGTCCACGTTTTTTGGGGAGTTTGGAGCGAGTGAAAATGTGGACTGTCTGGCAGGGAGCTCGGAGAGAACCTAAACTGGGCTTGATCGTAGGTCCCCATAGACATTGGGGAACACCGGATTACTGGGTTAGATTCAGGAGCAGTGGATGCGGATGAAGCTTCTTGTTCTGGTGTCAAAGCTGACAGGAGGTTAGTTGAATCAGACATTAGCTGTCAAGGATGTTAGAACATTTAGCTCATGTTCTTAAAAAAATATTTGTAAACAAAAACATCACTATTTTAGCCCAATTTAGTCTTGACCAGTACATAAACATATATACACATAAATGTAAAGGTATGTATTTTTGTGGGCATGTGTACACAATACTGTGCAAAAGCCTTTGGCTGCTGAAGAAAATTATGTTTAAATTATCTTTATGCTGGCGTAAAGCTATGATTTTATGTCTGTCAAAGTGTGTCAGATTAGCCGTTTCAAAACCTCTCCTATATCACCCCAGTATCTGCCAGTAACTGCCCAATATGCCCACATTTTTGTTGACTAGGTCGTTAAAGAAATCGGTGGATAAGCGAGGAACCGTCCCTTACTGATATTTCAAACATACTGTGCCGGTAGTTGGTTTGTGTAAACCATCTTTAGATATTGTTTTAATGTGACCTTTGCACCATTTATAACATTTTTAGTATATTTATAAATGTTTATACAGTAATGTACTGCATACTGTAATATATAGTGTACAGTGTATATGCATGAAATCAACTCTAATATACAATACTTGTTTGCATACTGTAAATATAGGCAATCATTTTTATTTATTCTGAGATGCTGCGCTGCACTTTCCGCAACCAAACTTCTTGTACAGCATACAATAGCGACTGGTCGGCGAGCTGGTCGTAAGTCCGGGTGGTCGTTAATACAGCAGGTAGGTCTTTAAGTGAGGGGTGTCTGTACATGGAGTGGCTGAGGGGCCCCTGAGGAGGGGGTTAGCATTTACAGTTACAAGTCTCTGCATCTGCTTAATGTCAAATTTATCCCATTCGTCTGTGTAGTTTTGCTCAAATTCCACGTTTGGGATCCACTATTGACTGCAGTATTCATTGTTTCTGCAGAAGCATTCAGGTCTCATAAGAACCCCTCGTGCTCGATGGTTGTCCTGCTGACTAAGGCTTGCAGCTAAATGCTAGCTAAGTGTTGTTACCAGGCACTACCTCTCTTTCACTACCTCTCTTTCACTACCTCACTTTCACTACTTCTCTTTCACTACCTCACTTTCACTACTTCTCTTTCACTACCTCTCTTTCACTACTTCTCTTTCACCACCTCTCTTTGCTGTGGACTCCACACGGGCTTTGTAAAGGTGTGTCTTTACTCGTGGACTTCTCTTATATAGATTCATTTATTAAGCACGTTTTGGTTGTTGCATGTACTCTCCAACCTTCCGTGCTACTGACCCACATGCTATGATGGCAAATTCTTATTGGTCTCCATAGTTTCCAATTATCTCCCTCCTCCATGTGCCAATTCCAATTGAGATGCATTAATCGGTATCCCAAATTCCATTCATTGAGGAATCTTGTATAAATGAGAGCATTGCATTTTATTAAATGATACGGGTGTATACAGGGATGGGGTGACAGGAACACTGACCCCAGCTAAAAGCTGATTGGCCACCAGAGTGCCCCACTCCCTCTCATTCACCAATTCTGCATAAATTATAGTCCCTCTTGTGCTGCTACCTCGAATCCCAGAAATGCCCCTGATACGAAACAATTAATATAAATGCTAGAAATAAGTAATATAACAAACATCTGGTTACTGAGTTAGGGACGCTATAATCTGTGCCTGTCCCAGAATGTATAGGGATAATCAGAGATAATCCTGCTTGTGTCGGCGTTTCCTCTTTCAGGGTACACACTCGCTAGGGACGTAAGAAACACTCTGAGGGCATGAAAACTTCACACACACAGATGGGGCTGCATTCAAACCAAGACTTCTGGAGCTGTGGGTCAGGGGTCATGGGGTCACAAGGTCACAGGGTTACCCTGCATTGTCATGCTAAACAATGAGGCTCTTCAAAGTACCACAAGAGCAGTTTCTCATTTATCATTTAGTGGGTCTCTGTAGCATAATTACTCTCACCGTCAGCATGAAAATTAGCTAAATTTACAAAATTACTTCCTTATTCTGATTGACGGGTCTGCTTGCTCGGCAGATTTCAATCAATAACAGCGACAAAAGAAAAAATGGAAACTATCGTTAAAGAAAAAATGTTAAGGGAAAATCCAAGGGCTAATGTGAATCTTTTTGACAGAGATTTTGGATCAGACTGGTTATTGCACCCATTTGGCTCGTTAATGATCCTATGGGAATAAAGTACTGTGACACTGTAAATTATGTGAAACACCAGATGTGCAGATTTAATACTGAGGGATGCAAAGAAGGTAGCTACATATTTGTAGGTGTAGGTGCTACATTAGGGTGTTGAGTAGGTGGGAAAGTCATTGTCTATAAAGCGTTCCTTACACTTTTAAGGTGGTGGGGGGGGGGGCCGGGGTCGTAAACTAGCAGACTCCAGTTCGGGATGCTTATCATGCATCTCGATGGAGAATCCTGGAAGTATTGTGTGCAGCAGGAGTCTTGATAGATGACAGTAATTCTGTCAGCAGCAGCGGTGTGTGGTTCACTGGGTCAAGCCTGTGACCGGAAGGTTGTCGGTTCTAATCCCATGTTCAGCAGAGGAGCCATATATCCATTGAATCTTTGAACAAGATCTTTAACACCTCAGAAAATACTCCAGGAGCGCTAGCTGAGCAGCTGCCCATGTGCCATGAGCCTCTCTCTCACCTCTGTATGTGTGCGTATACTCTAAGAAATAGGAGAGCAGGGTGGGATATGCAGAAAGTAACACATTTAATGTATCTGCTCTCATACTTGTACAAAGACCAAAGAAAGCATCTTTTCATTAAACAAAGGACTGGACTGAGGCGTTACTCACACAGTGTTCTTCCGTAACTCGCCATCTGAAAGCCAGTTATCAGGAGACACATCTTGGTAAATTTGCAAAATTATTTTAGTATAAATTGTTCAATATATTGTCTTACCTCCTTATTTTACTGTTGTTCAGAATCTGCTGTTTAAGATTTAAATATAAGTTTGCCTGCTTGAATTTAGAGAAATTCAATCAGGCCAAAGCGGTTAAACAGGAAGTAGGAAGGTTTGGTTAGCTGGTATAATGCTGAATAAATGGATGAGGAGTGAATCTACCTCTGAACACTGCAGATTATTTGGGAAATGCTCCATCCACTGTGTGACAGACAGCAGGATGGCAGGTCAGATTGGAAATGAAAGATGAGCGTTATCACAGGATATTAGTCTCAAAGATGAGAGGCAGAAATTCCACACCTAAGTCAAGGACGTTTAGTTAACAGAAATCAACAAAATGCAAGCATGATGCTTCAGCTTTAGTTACCCGAAAACATTTAGGCAAATATCAGGCCATAATATCGACAGCAAAACTGTAAACCTAGACACTGTACGACATCCAGTTGTATTTCTGCCCTATAGGGGGTGCTGTGGCGCCGGCATACTGTTGGATCTGCGCTACTCTCAGCCACGGTAACTCATCACCGTGTCTCTGGCACATATGCAAGACAGAAAGACGGGCTCGGGATCCAGTGACATTCATTCATCAGAGTGGAATGCCTAAACGCTGTTATTAATGTGGTGTTAAATCTACATCGAGTTTATATAGCAGCTGGAGGCCGTTAATTTGTTTGCTCATTTATTTATGGTGCTACGTATATGTGGCATTATTTATTGCTGGCAATATTGCTGTTTTCTTTTGTTTTTTATTGCGGTTGGTATAAACCCACCAAAAATGAAAGTACAGGAGCAGCTCAAAAATATCGCTTAGCCATACAGGCATACCTTTCCCCACTAAAGTCTTTTAGTGATTGTGAGCGGGTATACCTTATCTTATGGGGACACAATGTCCCCACAATATGATGAATACCCGTTTTTTAAACTCAGTTTAATAAAGATCTGTGACTGCAATAGAAAAACTAAAAATGCAAAAACTCTTGTATTTTGCTTGGTTACTTATGGTTATGGTTAGGGCTGGGTATAGGGGTTAAGGTTGTCATAGTTAGCGTTAGCATTTTTCCCATAGAAATGAATAAGCGGTCCCCACTCACGTGTGTGTGTGTGTGTGTGTGTGTGTGTGACAGAGAGAGAGAGAGATTAAGTTAAAAGTCACATAAAACACATTTAAAACAATGTAACTAGTCAACGATTAATACAGTTTTGCACTTTCTTTCGAATTACTTGATCTAATAGCGTTTTTATCTAATAATAATAATATTTTATATTCCACGGTTAAATTAAAGATTAACGATTTATAAACATGCTGCTCTCAAGTTATTTTAATGGTCATCCAATAGTAATGACAGGAAATCCATAATAATCAGACCATAGTTAGTGTACGTTTAGGTGGAACATTGGAGCTTGCTGTTTATTTACAGTCTTTATGAGATATGTTCTCATCTTAATGCATCATGTGCAATCGGCCAGCAGAGCGCGGATAGAGAGCCGGGCAGTCCATGTGGAGGGTGTCTAAGTAGCGCCCCCTATGTGAAATGCGGCGATACGCGCACTTTCGTGCGCAGTCTTTTGTGTGCAGTGTTGGGAGCGCATAAGCAAATAGGACACTGGCTCACTAAGTGAACGGGCCAGTCACTGCCAGTACATCTCATACCGTCAAAGAAAGACAACTTCTCCGCGACTGCACTGCCCGCGATCGCCTTCTAAAAGCCTAAAAAAGCAAAAGCCATCACTTGGGTATACATTCATTTGCAGAAACCTTGTGGTACTGGTTCATCTAAAGTCATTTTTTTCTTCTCAAAACCGCGAACGGATGTGAGGCAGAGACAATTTTCAGCACTACTAATACCTCGGTTTTAAGTTGCGCGCCGATTTCTCTCTCTTTTTTGTGCCGACTCCTCTTGCAAGAAAAGAAGGGGAACTGAATAGGAGGTGATTGATTGATGTTTCTTCTGAAATGGACGTAAGGTTTTATCCTCCTCCACCCCAGCCTCCATCAGCCACAGATCCGACTTGTTTGGGACCCTCGCATCGCTTGGACCCTTACTATTGCAATAAGGTGATGAACGTCTCTTTTCCTTCTTTGCATCTCAGTAAGAAAAATAATTACAAAAGTTAGTCCTGAATTTCCTCATGGTGGAGTCTGATGACACTTTTCAGCCAGAGTAATGCACTTCTGCTGGATAGTTTGAATTAAAGTGGCAGCCGATATGTTTAAAACGAGCAAAAGCATGTAAAGTTATGTAGGCTATGCAAAACTGACGCGCTTCTCTATAGATTAAAATGTGATTGAGGTGCATGACAACGCGATCTAAAACAGGCTGAAGTGGTTTATTTATGAGCTGAATGACACGTCGACCAATCGGACTTTGAATCACATTTCTTAGTTGTAATTGTATAGTTTGTAAAAAAGCACATTCACTGGCACCCTACTATTGGCACTAATACTTATTCAAATCGGCTTCCAGTACGTACTTTCTGGTAGCGTGCGCTATATCCTCGAACAGCCCACTCGCATGCAGATCTCAGTTCAGCCCTGCGTTTGACAACAACTTTACATTTAACTGAAAGCATCGATGCATTCTAACTCATAATAAGGCAGTCTACAATACTACAAGAGAGTGACGGATTGCTTTGTGTGAATACGCTTTGCGATGAACTGTGAAGTTAGGAGGATAATTCATTTTCTTCATCACATAATGTTAGTAAGAATATTTTTTTTTTTGCCAAAGGTTGCCACAGATGGAGCTGTAGCGTCGCAAATCATGCACGTTTTTGGTATTTTTCTTTAGTAGAAACTGGGTGGTCATGAGTATCAAACACATTACAAATACACCTGCGGGGGATTAAATATACGTTTCTAAAAAAAAAAGTGTTGATTTTACATTATGCACTGTATATAGGAGTATGAGGTGCCTTGGCTTATGGACTGATTATCTTCCTTGTGAAATAATGCCGGTCTTGTTCTGTAAGGTTAGTCCTTGTATGTTTAAGGGGGATGGGGATGTTTAAGGGGGGAGGGGGATCCTGGGCGGGGGTTGGGTATCACAGTGTCCCCCAACCACACACACGCTTAGACAGTTTGCTGTTTCGTTACAGTAATTTCGTGCATTTGTAAGTGATCTGCGGAGAAACAAAAAGCACACATTCGACCCCACGTCCACTTCTGTCCATACCTACATCCAGCACTGATTCATGTTTTACAGAACGCTGTTTGACGGCAAGCCCCGATTCTTAAACGTCACATTTTTAAGTAACGGTTTAAGTAATGTTCTTTTCCATTTGAAGTAACGCATGGCTTATTTATTAACAGATTTTTAGTATTGAGTATTTGGTCAAAACATCGTGATATTAATTATTAATTAACTATTAATCAGAAGATTCACGAGTAAACGTTCAGCTTTTAACTACTGAGACCACTTTTTTGATGAAATATGAGTTGCATCCTTCTCGTAATTATTTAGTTTCCCACTGTCGTGGATGTTTCTGGATGTTCCATCTGACACCGATCGACTCCTGCTACTCAATTTCTGTAAGGTGAATCTTTCACGGCCTCTGCTGGGTTTTCCTAGTTTGTAGGTCATAACTGTGAGATTCTGGGTTGATAAGACTTCTGTGAAAACGGGGGCGGGCGCACAAACAGCAAATTGGCTGAAATGGATGCTGCCCCGATATGTGGCCAGGACACCTCGGCACTGGATTATAGCACCGAGATCGCTACTCAAGGGGGATACTTTCGGTGACATAAACGCAAGATTGCGATGGTTCGTTGTTCTTACGGTCGTTTTCCAAGACGGGTCACAGACAGCGCTGAAAAAATTCTATGAGTTTACTTGTGAAAATGCTGACCTAGATAATAATGTACTTCTGTTTGCTTGCCTTAGGTTGAGACCAAAAAGCAGAGAATTCATGTTGTAGAAGCCATGCATGTTGTAGAAATCCCGTTTAACAATTTATTAAAACTTATGATATACTTGGATAGTGTCCTAAGTACAATTTATAGTGCACAGGATAATTAAACAATTAACAATTAATTTACCAGTCGTCACCAGTAGCAAGTAAAACGGATGGGCTTACATTAATTAATTGCTTAATGACAACTTACTGACAGTTCAGATGTATTATTATTATTATTATTATAACTTGCCATTCACTATGTTTAAACAGCTGCTTTTTACTCTAGGCCTACGTAAAACAACAATTAGTGAATTTGACATAACAACAACAATTGTTATTTCCTAGGTATGTAAGTTTTGAATAAACAAAACCCCAGTCAAAACTATTTTCTTGTCACCTTACTTTGACTGAAATATATTAAAGATAAAATCCAGATTTCACGGTATGCTTTATCATTTGATGATAATTATTCCAAGACGTAAAATTTAAACAATTTCTTCTTACACCATACCCCATTTAGGGCTTAATCGGAAATGTAATATTTTGTATTATAATTTATTTGTTTTACTGTAGAGAATATTTCAACATTTTATTTAAAAGAATAACGTTGTTTCAGTAAGGTACATTTTTTTCAAACTGGTAACCCTTCTCTCTGTTTTAAACCGGTCAATGCGTGGTCAGTGCAATCAAAGGACAGACACTGAAAGGACCTCTTTTAAAATTCCGAGTTGTCATCTGTTCCTGTCTTCTGGCTTCACCTCTTCCCGTTACCATGGAAACCAGAACTTTTCCAAGCCAACGTGTTCTAATCAGGAGGGAGGGACGGCTATGTTTTAGGCAAATAAGCCAATTAAAAAAAAAAAAAACATATTCATTGTTATTTTTGCATTTTATAATTTTTACAATATATATTTTAATGAACCCAGCAGCTACTTAATACTTTAAATTGGGGCTTGATTTATCAATTAAAAGTTTTTATACAATTAAGAACTTTATTAGCATCGTGTTATATTTTGGAAAAAAATCAAGATATAAGACCTCTGTGCCGTTATATTCCCTTAACGCTTGGGAATTCTTGGTTGTGACGTTTACCAAATATCAGTCTTCTGTGTTTCAAATGGGCTGCTTATACAATTCTCAGTACGAATGTCCAATTTTTAAACGCACGCCCTCCGCGGGTGTCCCGAAAGATTTATAGAAACAAAATGGTCAGAACACCGAGAGAGGTTTCAAGGGAAATATGACAGAGATACGTACAGACCGAAAACTTTTAGCAAATCGTCTAAAGGGAACATTTTACTGAAGATGTAGGTGGCTGCATGAGTCAGATTATTCAATGGTCCGCTTGCAGCGTGACATTTTGAGACCTTGCTTGTTCATTTGTTACTGACCCCCATTCGGTACGTGGTAATTAGGGGATTCAAACTGTTCGCTTTATCAGCACTCAGTACTGTTATTCATAAGAAATTGGTTTATGCCTTCCTTCTTACAGCTGGGAAGAGAAACATTTTCAGATAAGTAGGTGTTTGTTTTAAACTGATACTCTTGTGAGTCAGCGGTAAACTAGAAACCTGGATATTATCAGTTGTCCGTTGTCCTCTAAGAAAAAACGGCTTTTCCATTCAATAAATCTGAGTAGTCTATTTTGTGTATGGTTTTTAATCTCTCCAGTTTTGATTACTCAAAAGCTTGGAAATATTAGCTTTTGGCCGGCAGTTGTCACCACCAATTTAACGTCATTGTAAGGAATGACATCTTGCATAAATTAAAATGTAATTTACTTCACTGTTACTGTGTAACATTTTGTCAGGAACACTCATGTTGTTTACTTATAAATTTAAATTACACTGCCCACGTTATTCATGTTATCAAGGAAAATTTACTTCACTTTCATATTTTGCATTGTGTGTTTTAAGTGTTTGGTGGACATATGATTGCATCCATGCAGCTTAAATGGACGCTATGTTCTGTAATACAAAAGGCCCCATCAGAATGAGCTTTTATAGCTCATTAATTTGTTACAATCACTATACCATGACTAACTTGAATGTCAAGCAAGAGGACATACATACAGGTACAAGGAAATTCAACAGATGCACGCCTTAACTGAATAGTTAATATTTAACTCTCAAGAAGCTTGTACATCTGGTTATGGTCAATAAACTGCTTTTTTTTAAAAAAACAAAAAACTAATTTTGAAAAAAGAGGGGACAGGGTGTGTTTTGCCAGCGGTAAAAATGTCAGCCGATTCTTCCAACTGATTTGGCTTTGAATGTCTGGACTGGAGAGCCGGAGAAACTACCTTTGAGAAATTAACAGAGAGGGCTTGTTTGATCGCCTGCTATTAATCTGCAGAAAAATGTTTACTGCGAAGTGTTAATATCAAAACTAATGATTTATTTCAGACTAATGACTTCTGCACAACATGGCGGTCTCGATGGAGTGCGGAGGCTTGAAGTTATTAAAGTTAATGGGATAATATTCCAGTCACCGGGGCCAACCCGAACTTTGTGGTTGTTGCAATCAGCAAGTTCTACTTGCCAGTTTTTCTTCAAGGTCCAAATGATGTCATAATTGATAATAGAGACTTGTGTCCACTTAGCAGCTGTGTGTTACTGATTATGAAGTCATGCTGTGTGGCAAACCAACACACGATAAACAGGGAACACTACTGAATCGAACACTGCAGATACCTTCCACGGAATGATGTGGAAGGTGTTGGCCATGTCAGGTGGCCTTCCCTTACCGTTAGCTACAACTCTGCTTAACTCCTTCGCAGAAGGTGGTCCAGCATCGTTTGCCTTGAGTAAAAACATCTGGCTGGTGTTCTTTATGGTTTTCAACATCATAACGACCTTGTTTTCCAGTGTTTCCCCCCCTGCTCCCCGCCCTTTAGGGGGCTTTTCCACTGCAACAGGTAGCATACTTTTGGAACGGTACTTTCCCTTTTCCACTGACTTCCAGTCGATTACCAGTACCAAAATTTCCAGTACCTAAAATACAAAACCAGCTGGGGTACATTTTTGGTAGTTCGGTACTTTGGGGTGGGACTTGCAAATGCTTTCTTATGAAAATAGCCTGCCTCTAAAAAAACGTAATAACAATAGATGTGGACAAATCATTATTATGATTGTGATTATTGTGATTATTGCTGGGAGGGCA